CCAACTAATAGATGACTGTGTGAAATTAGGAACGAAATAGTCAACCGTTATCTTTCCGTTAACCAGTTAACGGTTTGACTATTTCATTCCTAATTTCGCGCAGTCAACTATTAGTTGGGGAATAATTCTGCGCGAGCAATACTTGAGTATTAAAACTGCCGATTTCAAATACTTGGGGAATTAATTGCCCATTTTCCCTTGGATAAATAGACATTCAGATGATGATAGATAACAGATGCATGGAAGTGGAAGCATTTCCCAAAGAGAATCGAATAGATTCTCCCTCTTTTCTTTTGTGTTCGTCAGTCTTTTCTTTACCATTCCCCGAGACAATGTGGTGGGTTTACTAATTATTAAGTATGATTCTTATATATTCTCCTACTTCCCGTTTTCCTTTTTTCTTCCATGTCTATATAGTACTTCTTTATAATCACCCACTATTTTCCACAATTTCAAGTTAGCTTTTACATGGACTTATGGATAAGGCATTACCCTCGTATACAAAACAATTGTACAAGTATGAGTTGTAGCTTTAATCCACGATGTACGTCACTAAACACTTTGAAAATAGTATACAGACTTGTTTAAGGTGAATCAATTATAGGTTATAACAAATCATACAGACTTAAGATAACTAACTACATCTTGATTTTAATTTAGTGCGATAAATCATATAATATATTGCGAGTGAGTATATTTTGGATAGTAGATTTATATTTATGTTTGAAAATCTGAAAAAGATTTGTATTTTATTTATTAGATTTTACTCTTTATAGTAGCAAAAATAATTCTTATTGTAACAAAACCTATGTAAAAACTACAATTATAATGTCAAAGTGGCACTTTTTCTTTGAAACATGTCAAATGGCACTAAGATAGAAAAACGTCAAACAGTTTTAATATTTGTTAGTATCCATATATTTTAAAATTTTATTATATGTAAGAATCTATATTGCAAGCTATAATCATTCGTGGCATTCCACATGTATACCTTACTGTGGTTTTTTGTCTTATTATCTTACAACTGAGCCACCTTTACTTTAGCGAGACATATTTACTTTTCAAGAACAAGATTCTTCTATATTTGAAGGATGGAGTGTTAAATTTGTGATACACAGATGAAAAGGTGAAATGACGGTAAATAAAAAGCAGCGATTGCAGTGTGCCACAGGCGACAATATGTATAATTTGTAACCTGCAGATTTGAATGAAAAGGAATTAACAAAGTATATGAAATTGTGTTTTAGCAGACAAAATTCAAATGACACAAAGATGGTCAAGATTCAAACCTCGGAGACTATACCTTTACCATTCAACTATTCTTGTTTTCTTTAATCAAAGCTTTTGATGTTTTCCTTGGGTTTTGTTTGAGAATCACGAACAAGTTCTATCTAAGCATTAAAACTTAAAAGACTAAAATTAAAGAAGGGAGAAGTAAATATTCGTAGTTAAGGGAACCGATACGTTCCTTGAAACTGTTGCCATGCAACTTTTGCTTTAGCTGCCTCTGATTTTTTTTTCTGACTGCATCCTTTTTACTCCTGACACGCACGAGATCATATTATGCACCCATGTACCGAAGTTTTTTTTTTTTTTCATGTACCGAAGTTGAATTGGTGAATTTTCAAGGGAATAAGCTAGAAATGAATATTGTATTTTTTATGAAAAAACCCACATCTGTCCAACAATGTGAATATTGAATTTGGCAATATGTATTAGCTTTTGTGAAGCATAAGCCTAACGAAAACGGCTGATATTGTAAGCTTTAACCTTGTTTTAATTTATTTCCTTTGTTTGAACTAGTAGTGGCCCCTAAAATGATAAAAAAAAAATCTAAAGTCCTCGATATGTAATTTATAATTTTGTTTCTTTTTGGAAAACGTTAGTTTACGTTAAAGGAAAATGCATTAAAGCTGAAACAAAAATAAGAAAGTAAAAACCAATTGAAACCCTAATTTTACTTCAAAAAATGTTCCCGGTTGTTAAAGGAAGAGCCTTGTGCTTTGTCGATATATATATATGAGGGAGTCCAACATCACATGTATATGCTCTAACACTAAAATCTCATCTACTCACTTCTACTTTCTTCAACTGTTTACGACTAACATCCACAGGTAATCATATGAATCATGTCAAATACTATACTGTAAAGTTTCATTTGTGTATACTTATACCCCTAATTTTATTTATTTATATTTTCTCTATGTGGCCGTAGAAGACGATGAATAGGCCAGGAGACTGGAACTGCCGATTGTGTAGCCACCTCAACTTCCAGAGAAGGGATTCCTGCCAACGTTGCAGAGAGCCTAGAACAAGCAGCATTGCCGACTTGGTCGGTGGTTTCACAAGTCGTCCAATCAGTAGCTCTTTTGCTTTCAGCACGGGAC